GATGTTATGCTGATTGGGTCCAGGGAGCAGGAGGTAGCAGACAGTCTGGACTTGGTGGTTAAGCATGTGCGCATGAGAGGATGGGAAATAAATCCAACCAAAATTCAAGGGCCTTCTACCTCAGTGAAATTTCTGGGAGTTCAGTGGTGTGGAGCATGCAGAGACATTCCTTCTAAGGTGAAGAATAAGTTGTTGCACTTGGCCCCTCCCTCCACCAAGAAAGAAGCACAACGCTTGGTAGGCCTGTTTGGATCCTCAAGGCAGCACATTCCTCATCTGGGTGTTGTTACTACGACCCATATATCAAGTGACTGGAAGGCAGCTAACTTTGAGTGGGGCCTGGAACAGGAAAGAGCCCTTCAACAGCTGCTCTACCCCTTGGGCCATATGATCCAGCAGACCCAATGGTGCCTGAGGTATCAGTGGCAGATAAAGGTGCTGTTTGGAGTCTCTGGCAGGCCCCCATAGGGGAATCACAGTGGAGGCAATTTGGTTTTGGAGTAAGGCTTTGCCTTCATCTGCAGACAACTATTCTCCCTTCGAGAGATAGCTCTTAGCCTGCTATTAGGCCTTAGTGGAAACTGAACATCTGACAATGGGCCATCAAGTCACCATGTGACTGGAGCTGCCCATCATGAGCTGGGTAATGCCTGGGTAATACTGGGCAATGCCCGATTATCATAGAGAAAAAACCTGGGGGTAGTTTTTACTCCAGGTAACTATGCCAAAGGTCATCTTCCAAATAAGGTCAGGCATCCGTGCTTGGTGGCACTTTCCAGGTAAGCCAGGAAGAGAGCAGGAGGCCCCCTGCTGAAAAGGGGAGTCCTTCCATTTGGCGCCGAGCCCCTTACAGCTATCCGGACATGGAGAACTACAACCCTAACAGCAGGGTTTCCCAACAAGTGCCCTGGCCCCAAGGGTATGGCCTGCAACAGGACACTCTGGAACCATTCCCTGGAACAGCCCTGCTCCCTCCTCCAGGTAAGCACACTTTTGGAGGCAGGCTGAGATTGACACATCCTCCTGCCTCCACCTGCCCAACTCTTCCTGTCCTTGTCCCTGAAAGGTGAGGGTTGCCCAGTTGTGCCATCCTAGTAGTCTCCACCCCTGACATAAACACGAACTCTTCCCCTCAAACCACGTAGCAAGTGCCTTCTTTCTGATGATACAGCCAGAGAGGGTAATTCCAGGCACACAAACTCAGTACCCTCAGCCGACCGCCCACAGCTGCTGAGCCCAGGCTCAGACCAGACATTTGGTGCCAATGAGCAATCATGGTCTTGGGCCATGAAGGAATAAATATCCTTCTGGCAATTTTCCTTGGTACGTACATATTTGGCTGAAGAATGTGGGAGTGGGACGTCATTCGTGTTTGTGTGCATTTGAATAAACCAGCTGGGAATGGGCAAGATGAAGCACTGGAAGGTGATGGGAGAATGCACGACCCCCCACCACTCTCCTCATTTGGAAAACAGCAAATGTTTGCCTTCTAAGGCCAGGAAGTAAGTGGCACCATTGAAAAGCTGAGTTAGCCGTAGTTTTTCTACATTCTCGTGTTCCGTGTTGGTCAATAAGCCCTAGGAAACAAGCCTCTGCGTGAGGTTCCCAAGAGGCATGTCGATTCAGTCTTGAGTTTTGAAGAATGTAGGGTGAATTTAAGGTTTGGAATGCCTCCAACGCCTACCCCGCCATGACAGACTCTACCTCTGGAGGCTTTAGACAAAATAAACACTTCCGTCCATTAGTTGCCCCAGTTGTGGTCATCCTGTTTTACCACAGCACCAAACAGTAACTATTGCACCAGGTTAATATTTTTCACCTAAGGTGTGTTCCAAATACGCCCTTTTCCAAAGAAAAGGAGTTTAACAATCCATTTCTTTAGAGGACAATTATTAAAAATGTAAGGTGCATCCCTGGGCTACAGCTCTATGCACAGTGCCTGTCTTCCCTGCCATGGACTTTTCAATCCCCAGTACTGAACACAGATGAAAAAGTTTCTAAAAGATGTTTATATGATTTTCAATAAGTAACTGACAACGGATTCAAAGAAGTAATTAGGTACCAAGACTTTATCAAAGTGAACATACTAGAATAGGATATGATTTCCAAGCTTATGTGACTAAAACATTAAAATCCTAAAACCTGACTTACATTCAGGTCTCAGGGCAGACACACAACCCAGCAGCCTGTCTGCCTGCTACTCCTAGGGCAAGCCCAGGAGCCAAGTCACCAGCAACAGCCTGAACTTGAGACTGACCCAGTGACTAGGGGTCTCCCACAGAACTGCTCTTTGTCCTAAAGGCTGAATGCATGCTGGATCGGTCGCAGGCCATTACCTAGGGCTCTGCTCATACACTGCACTCCCATGCAGGTCCAGAACCAACGGTGAAGGCCACACTGTGTCCCCAAGAAACTACCCAATGACCAAGCTCAGTATCTGGGATGGGAGGGGGCGCCACACAAACAGTGACTTCTGAGCATGCACTTTAACCCAGAGGACCCACCATATGGTCAACACAAGGAAGGATGGTTACCCAGGTGGCTATATGCACACCCTGCTTCCCAAGGCAGCAACAGTAACTGGGGGAATGACTGCAGCCTGACACCAGAACAGGCACAGCACCCAGAGGGCATCCCACATACTGCCTAGGGGCAGGGCCAAGAGAACATCAGAAGACCACAGAAATGGTGCCTTCC